AAAAGAGAGTGAGAGAGATTAGAGCGCGTTAAAAAAAAATAGCCTTAGCTCCTGTTGGACGCTCCCGTTATTAAATAAAGTTTTTCTCGACGTGTTGGTTTGGAAAGTGGATAATTTCTTCAGTCCTTTTGAATTATTTGTTAAGTTTTAGTTTATTTTGAGAGTTCTGACCCTCAAGGTTTTCTTCGGTTTTAATGGAAAACAGCTACATCTTTTAGCCTTTAGCCCGCGCGCGCAGCTAACCGAACAGTTAGCAAACCAACGGCTGAACGGGTCGAATGTTCGGATTCCGAGTAACTTCATTTTAATTAGTTTTTTAGAGCAGTGCTCTTGATAAACTCACCGACAGGAACCCTGCGCTGACTTCTGATCCAGTGGATCTAGATTTAACCCTGCAGGACGCCAGGACCCAGAAAATTTAAAAAAAAACACGCCAGGCATCTGGATCCGTTTTAGCCTCACCTCCAACAGGAACCGCCCACCGTGACATCGCTATCTGATTGGTTGATTAAAGTGTCCGTCAGGACTAACCCGAGAAATACTACCCAGAGACCGAAAATAAAAAGTTCTGATTGGTTCATTTTACTGCCACATTAAACAAGTACAGAGCGCATTTATATTATGTACAAAGCCATGAAGCTTTCTTTAAAATCTGATTTAAATAAAACTAAAACTTTATTATTATGATCATTCTTATTAGTTTCGGTTTGCACAAGAGTTTGATTATAGTCATTAATTTAAAATATAGAAATAATGCCAAAATGAATTTCACAATTACAAGACAAAATTTAAAAAAACAAACTCATATCTGAAGGCCCAAAGGAACAATAACCAAAATAAAGTAAACAATAAAATGTTTTTAAATTTTCACAATCCAATAGGTGGATTTTTACAACTCTTTTTCCTTAATTGAGTTAAAACAGAAAAGACTCAATTTTCTAAAAATGGTTTTGATTTAAAGGAAATTATTATTACCAACACAAAAAAAAATGTATTTTTTAAGCTAATAATTGATTCATTCATTCACTCGTCCATACAACAAGTGCTAGGCTGATTCAACATCCTCTTATAGCCATGTTCATTTATCACTGATGATATTTATTCTTTTTTTTAAGCTCACGATGGTGCCGAAACTATCATTTCACAATAATGATGTCAACGTGTCTAACCCCTGACCAGTATTTGTATCATTAATAGAATCCAGTAGGAAGTAGAAAAATGTTGGTGCTGATGTGGCGAAGATGAAGAAAACTGCAATTATTTTACAAAAAGACAGATTTGAGCCTCAGCAACTGATACTTCCAGTCTTTACGCAGCAAACTGAAAAACAAAAATTATAAGTGACTTATCACTTCCTGCTGCTTCACAAGATTATTATGGGATAATCCAAGAACAACAAGAAAAACTGAAGCTAGAAAAACAAAAAGGAGTCAGTCCGACAGCACAATCTCAACAATAAATGAAGTCCACCTTAAAATTCAATATGAGAAAGACTCAATCCAACAGGAAGTACACCTTGAAACTCCATCCATCCATTATCTTTTACCCGCTTCTTAATTTTAGAGTGACTGGTGCCCATGTCCAGCCATCACAGAGGCAGGGGACACCCTGGACATGTCGCAAGTCCATCACAGGGACACACAGAGACAAATGAGACAAACAACCATTCACACTCTCAGTCACAGGGACCAGAGTTACCAGTCAGCCTAACATGCATGTTTTTGGTCTGTGAGGAAACCAGTACCCAGGGGAAACCCCACGCATGCACGGA